CATCATCATTGTCGTCGTCATCTTCACCATCAGCACCATCAAAAGAACGGCTGCCGCCATCACCATCGCTATACAACCCTCATGATTAAGTTGTCTTTCATGTCTGATGCACAGATTGCTGCTTTCTGCACGGAGCAGGGGTTGGGCTTCATAGGGGCCATAGGGGGTGGGGGCAGGGGTGGGGCGACACCCCCAAGCCGCGTGAAAGGTAAAAAGCGGCTGAGATGGGGGAGCGGGAAGGGGGAGGGGGGTGGTGGCCCGGGACCCGAGAGCATATGTATATATATATATATATGTATATATATGTTCTAAGTGTTTTTGTTTATTTGTTTATATTTATTTATGTATATTTATTTATTTTTAGTTATTTGTATTTATTTATTCAACGAGGAATCGAGGAAGAGGAAGAACATCTCGTCTACACTGCATATCCCATATTCAGTCGTGCCCCCCTGCTCCGCTTTGCCATAAGTCTTGGGATGGGGACACTCCCGGCTTGCTCCTGAAAGACGTGCTGAAAGCACTCGAGAGGGAAGAAACATCTGGCAAGCTGCCTGGGTTTGCAGGATTTTCTGCGAGTTTGCGATTCTAGGGGATGTCTTTTCGTCTTTTGGAAGGGTTTCCGAAGCTTTTGAATTTCTGTGCACATTGTGAGGCCTTCAACTTTCAAAGTCGCATATTCCTACCTATGTACATGCCCCGTGGCATCCTACTAGTAGCCCTAGTCCTAATAGTCCAAGAAGCAGCAGCATCAACAGCACAGTAAGCACCGCCACGAAACACAAAAACTCCAAGTATGAGCCCGCAGTAGTCTACACAAATCCTGCCTTGTTCGCGTCTTGCAAAATTACGCAAAACACCTAGGTGCCGCAACATACGTGTCATAATGCCCCCAGGCGCCTCAGGGCGCGCTAGCCTACTAGTCGTCGTCGTCGTCGTCGTGGCGGTGGCGGTGGCGGTGGCGGTCGGTGGCGGTGGCGGTGGCGGTGGCGGTGGTGGTGGTGGTGGTGGTCGTCGTCGTCGTGGTGGTGGTGGCAGTAGCAGGAGCAGTAGTACCAGTCGTGGTAGTAGTAGTAGTAGTAGTAGTAGTAGTAGTAGTAGTAGTATAGTAGTAGTGGTAGTAGTAGTAGTAGTAGTAGTAGTAGTAGTAGTAGTACAGCAGTGACAACAAGAGTGTTATTGGCATTGCTATCAGCATTATTATCATTATCATTATTGTTGTTATTAGGGGGGGCGGCTCTTTTATTGTCAGGGGGAAGCGATTGGTGGCTTCACTGTCGATTTGAGGCCTTTGTTTGACGCTTCTTCTCCTCCGCCTTGTACTGAAGCTTTGTCCGCTCCAGCATAAGCCTTCAGAGCGCAAGTCTTTAAGCAATGTTGGACTGATACGACACGAGGTTTGCAAGCGACTTGCTCCACATTGGTCTTTTCCATCAAACATCGCAGCAAGTTCTGTTTGAAGCCACGCTGGCCGGCACCAAGCCGCCTGGCAAGATCACAGACGTGGGAGGGAGACATGAGGGCTTGCGAGCCATTTCGAGCCGCACGGCAGGCACTGCACATTGGTTTAGACATCACATCCACGCTACTTTCACGCGATCAGTGTCTGCCTAGTCGGCTGATCCATAGGGGTAATCTCCTGTACTCGGTGCGATAGTACCTGGAGCGGCTTGGTGCTACACCGAGAAGGATCTGACAAGATTCAATCCAAACAGCAGACGCGCCTCTTCAGAAGCTTCAAGGTATCGCGCTCTGCACGGGTGCAGAGCTCAAGAGCCGGAACTGCAACCTCGTAAGCGCAACTCTGCAAAGGGTGTCCACATAAAGAGAAAGGCTTCCACGGACCCGTTGACATGCCTTGGCTCTGACGTTCCTCCTCTCGAAAACAAAATCTGGTGGGAATGGCCTGCACAGAAAATCTCGCACTTCCCTTCACACTGCGTGGTACCACAGCCTGAGTTGCAGGAACGCAGCAAGTCGATCGTAGGCCTCACGCACTCCTCAAAAGAAACCACGCAGCATTCTACAGCTTCTGTGTTCGCATTAAGCTGTCACACGACCGTCCCCCCGAAAAGGTGTGCGCATTCACATCCTTCTGCTGACTTGTCTCCACTTGCTCCGACAATTCTGTTGTCAACAGAGTCTCGGTGTAGCATATGCACCTGAAGCGCCGCTTTGTGCGATCAAGGTGGTATTATGCTGATTACTAATACAACATAGTAGCATTACTGCTTCAGAGCGGCTCGCCTATCTCCCAAAAGTCGAGTGACACCCTCTGCGAAAAACGTGAAAAACGCACGTCTGCGGCTCAAGTTGTACCACTTGTGCCTCGAGTAGCACTTGTCACTCCGACGACTTCACAAGCGCATGCTCTGCAGCCAATTGCAGCCAAAATGCGACAAGGAAGTTGGCTTCGAAGCGGGAACAAAGTCTGATAAAGCAAATTCACGCAGCGGCGGGCGGGCCGGTGCATCTTTGTCACCTGCATTCCTGTACCGCAGGTGGTGTGACTCCAGCTTCATGTGCTCTTCATGTTTGGGATATTAGGGTTAAGCCGGATTGGATACACGGTGCGGCCACGAGGCCACCAATTCATGGTGTCACCGTAAGCAGAATGAAGCCATCGGATTGGATCGCAAGCCAAGAGCACAACTTTTGCTGATGGGACCAAGGACACCTAGTCTGAAATCACCAAGGGAAGGGAAAAACTGAATCATGGTCAATCATGGTCGATGCCGGGTGGCCATCTTCATGATGATTCGCTGAAAGACATAAACTGGATTCCTCTCACCAATTAGAAGCGCACGGCTTGGGCCTGCAGGCAAGCTATGCGAGGCCAGAGTAAGACACTCTTCTGGCTCGCTCAGAATCACCGTCCCTGCCATTGCCTTCGGGTTCTTTCAGCGGGCCAATGAGGTCCGAATCACTGAAACCTGGGGGTCTGGCACCACCCAGGCAGCATAAGCCTTCCAATGCTGTTTGTGTTGGTACAAAGTACAAATAGATTGAACAGATTCTTTGACGGCTCTGTGCTCCTGCGTTGAACCGGTGAATCAAATCTGCAGGCGGAAGAAGTCGAGCGCCGACCTGCCAAAAGAAATGGCCGTCCTACACAGCACGGGCCGATCATGCCAAAAGACAACACTTATCGAGACAAGGCGAAGCAACGACCAACTCTGCAACAGTACCCTGGAAAGAAGTCCTGCGCATTCTGGTCATCGGTATTGCTGCGGGCATCCATCGCTGCGGGCGGAATGAACTGAACCTCAAAACTCTGGACGCTACCACAAGCACTGGAATTCCCGTGCATCTGCACAAGGCCGTACCAACGTCGGGAGATTTTGCCATGCGAAGCTGGCCCCTATGTCATCAAGACACGCTTCCGAATGCAGCTCGATTTGGGCTTCTACATCGATGACTGCAATTTAAAATCCTGCGAATTCATGTCAGCCAGCGAGCACTAGTCACTTGTCCGACATGGGAATCATGGCGGGAGACTTCGCAACGTGTTTAGGAAGGAGCCAGCAAGATGAAAGGGGAACAGGGCTCAGGGCGTGGCTCCTGGATGTCTGGCCATGTTGTGAGACAACGAGGATGTTCCGCACTTCTCAAAGCCCGCCAACACCTCGGCACGGCACTCGGCACACGGCAGGGCTACGACTGCGCGACGGCGACGGCAATTCAGCCATCCACAGGGCCGTGACGGCCAAGGTCGGCCAAGGTGCAAAATTCAGTTTAAGATGTCGCCAATGTCCAAGTTGCACGACCAGGCTCTCTGTGAGATTCCAACCGGCTCCGTGGTGGTTCTTACTCAACCACGATTGGACCTGCAGTGAAGCTGCGGTCTAGTCATGAAGAAGCGTTCTGCGTCAGGGTCCTGCCTCGCGAGGGCTACACGTGTTCGCCATGCAAAGTGTGGATCCTGGCAACCTGGCTGACGAAATTGACACCTGAGCAATGTTGAAAGGGCACGGACGAGTTACCTCCAGCGACAGTGCAGCATAGTGCAACAAGTGTCAGTGGTGAAGACTGGTGATGCAACGGCACCTCCCAGAGCGTGCCACCAACAGAACTACAGTGGTCCCAAAATCTCGACATGTCCTCAGCTCGGGTAATTGCGCCGATTCTTGTGCGAGCAGTCGTCTGCTTCATGTCTGCAGCAATGCACAGCATTTATTGCGGACCACAAGTTGGCCAGACATAAGAAGCTTGGGGCAGCGGCGTTGAAGATGTTCTCATGGGGAGACGGGCCGGGACTGTCTATCGGCCACCTCGGATGTCACTTGGGAAACCACGGCCGAGGCTGCACGAAGTTGGGCGGGAAGCATCACTTCCTGCGCCGGCAAAAAATTCTGCGGGTGGTGGTCCAGGAGCGGAACTCCGCAGCGCCGAGCTTGGGAGCCTGCGAAGCCATGCGAAGCCCCAAGCACATCCAAAGCCGAGTCGCCGGAGCCGCGCTTCGGCGCCGGGCCTGCAAACATTGCCAGGACTCGCCACATGGCATTGCCATCGCCGAGATGCTCTTTGCAAATTCGAAACTCTGTTCGAGAGCTGTTCGACAGTGTTGTATGTTGAATATGGCAGGCAGTCACAACGACATGTCGTTGAAGCTTGAACGTGTGATGCGGTCGCGTAATCTCCAGAGCCAGCTTAATCTGTGCGGGACAATGCAACCGTGCTTGCAGACTGCCGGCCATCATGACTCCGCCCACTGACACATTCAATCATATTCACTAGTCACCTGTCTTCGGCGTTAAGAGCATGAGCCACAGGCTTCTTATAGAGCTCATGATCCTCTTTGGAATCAAAGCTGCTGTCCAGATCCTGCAAGGATAAATACACCCGCCAAATCGCCAGCACACAAACTGCAGCAAACCGCGAATGGTGCCGCGCGGCGCCTCTGGCATATCGGTTTTGTCAACCTCAAGCTCTCACTTCTCATTGCCACTTGGGATGTGCATTGGCTGGTGCGATTGTGAGCACAGTTGGACTGAGCACCCGGCCGGTCAGCTGCTGTAGGACGCTGGCTACGTCAAAAAGAGCAGGCAGCCGGCACATCCCCACCGGCAGAACATGCGGTAGATCCAACTTGCCAAGGATATTGTGGAACGTAAACGGAATCTGCTGTGATGAGACGGTGTGGTGGCATGTTGCAGTCGCAATCAACAGTAGCTACACTGGAGAGTTATCTCGCACATACTTCAGCCGCATCCAACCTGACTGCTGAAGGCTTGTGGGTTCACAGAAGGGAGTGACACTGACTATAATGACTGGAGACCCTCCCCCGCGGGTCTCCCTGCTCCACTGCTCCACGATTCTTCCCCTGCTTCCCTTGTCAGTCGGCAATCTCCAACGCTAGTCCAGCAGCAGCGGGAAAAGCCCCTTTCAGCAATACTACAGAACAAAGTTGCCCGAAGGCTGACTCATGACAAGGAGCTCTGCCAACGCAGCACTGTAGCATGATTCAGCTTTGCCACTATGTGTGCCTAGCATGAGGCCATCTAAACACCACGAAATGTAAGCTGGGCAAAGCTCGCCCCAGTGAGGGAAATCTTTGGTTGCTCCAGGTCCTCTGCAGTCGTAGCATTGTCGAAGCGTTGATGCGATGCAAATCAGATGTGACGTAGTACGAGACCACGGACAGCAGGTTGCGAGGGACTGGTGCAAGTGACCTTCCTGTGCAAATCTCAGGCATGCAATGCCGAGACCAAGGCCTCCTTGCATTGCATTGCATGTGAAATACAGTCAGGATACGCTTGGATTGTGTAACAGTGGTCTGGCTTTGGCGTCGAGACTGCTCCGCGATCCTGACCGTCTAGCTCGAAGCTGCACATCCTGCTACGGTGCCATGCCTAATCCCCGGCACAGCACACATTGGGACTCAAGAAGCAAAATGACAGATCATGTGAGGTCAATGTCTCAGTGTGCCGTGAAACAGCTTTGTACAATGCCTACACCTTCTGTGTGGCAGTGGTTCAACCTTTTCCTGCCCGTTGCAAGCTAGCCATGTATACGCAGCTCTCCTCGATTGAGACTGGCAGAGCTGACTCGGATCCGGGCAACATCCTAGAGCAAGGGAATTGGGCGACAGAGTCGCAGGTGACTGTGCCACCAACGCAAATTCCGATCTCAGGCCAGATGACAGACATTCAAGTGCACCTTCAGGTGCTCCTGCAAGCCGACTTTTATCAGAAGTCCAAAAGCGTGTGCAACTGCAACAGCAGCCCGCCCAAGCCTGAAGAACCTGGTTCGAGTGCTGCAGCTTTCGTTGTGTTTCCTGCGACTGCTCCAAAGCCTGTCGCAGTGACTGCACCTGCCCGAAGCAACAGTTGTGATTGCCACAGGGCAGACCAAGCACGTTCAGCATCCGTTGTCGAGCAAGATAATGCCGAATCGATCCGAAGCGAATGAAAGTCCTGATGCACGGACTTGCCTCACTTGAGCTACCTTCAAGCTTGCGACACCGACCGGCCAGGTGATGAACCTGGTCAAGAACGCACTCCTTCAAAGTTCTTGCACGGGCTGTGGCCACCTACATCACCGCATCTCCTGAGTCCTGCACCGCCTTCAGCAGGACCTGAAGAGAACCAGTGTAGGTTCCGAAACACGTCGACTCACGTCCCACCTTGTTCGTGTGCTGGAGCCGTGAACACGTCGCCTAACTGCGGAGCATGAGATGCGCCCGGACTCCTCTCGGCCTGGCCTCTGCCTCTACAGCATTCGGGCGCAGCTCTTCCCGTAGTTCTTCTGCCTGACGGCTGGCTGGTGTTAGGGACAGGTCGAGTCGTGTGGAATCACTGATAGGAGTCTAGAAATTCAGACCGAAACTGTGACGCTTTTCTACTGCTTACCGTGGTTCAAGTTCAGTCCACCAGGCCCACAACTCGAGTCCGACAGAGTTTTGACATCTTGCAACGTTGGCTTCAGGTCTTTGGTGGCATCCTATCACCTTGCTTGTCAATTCCTTCCATCTCCGAACTGTCACAAGAGACTAACACGTCAGCCGAGAGATCGACTGCGGTGCATGTTTGCTGCCCGCATAAACCTCCTATCTGAGTATGCTCGAGTTCCGCATGGAACTCCTGCGCCACGTCACAACCTGATGATCGACTGAGCTACATATGAGGCAACCCACACACGACCGCATGGACAGCTGCATCTTTTTGCATCGCCAGGGCTGTCATGACTGCAAGCAGAACGATGCTCCTCGCAGTCCTGCAGTCTGCCGAGCCTAGATTCCAGGGATGAAAGGATTGTGACGGCAAGACTCGTCCACCGCGTTGCTTGGACTGAATCGCCGTCTTCCGCATAGACACATTCCCCGGACAAAGAATTCTGTCGCAGCTTGGATCTTGGATCGAACTGCCGGATTGTGCTGCACGTGCACCGGTATTGAGGCGAAAGCGAGCCCGAATCAGGCACTCAAGCTCACTTTGCCTTGCTTGCCAGAGGGACCTTCGATGCGAGAACAACCCAATGTCAACAGCCTTTCGCGAGTTAGTACAGTGTAGCCATACACTGCAGTGGATCTTCGTACAGCACAGTCTGCTGCAACAATAACATCACAAATAGCAAGAAGGAACGACTCGAGTTCAGAAACCCGCCTTTTGATGTATTCAGATTCATCGCTTCCACATTTGCAATGTAGGAGAGAATCGCAACCCACACCACCTTCAAAAGATGACAGACAGTCTCGCTGTCAAGAGCTATGTCCTGATTTAAGCGATGCCTCGGCAATGTCGTTCCACAAAACCTTGAACTGAATCGGCATGAATGAGGAATACGTCACCTTGATATTCACAAAACAGTGGGAGTACTCCAACATCGGCTTAGGTTTCATGATTCACTCTGGGATGGTTCAGATGAAACGCAGAAGCTGAGGACCAGACTAGGTGAACAATCGGCCAAAATCGCCAACTGGAGAACATCGCCGGAGGCACGGTTCGTCGCATGTGTGACATGCTTTCCTGAAGGGTCTTACCTGCTAGAATGCCCAGAAGTAGCGCGTACGCCTTGGGTGCAAAGCAATGCGAAGGAGCTTTGGACGCGGGACTTGGCAGATAGCATTGGCAGGGATGCTCCTTTGCCTGTTTGGGTCAAGGACTGAAGCGGGGGCTTGCCGAGCGTGCTGGTTGCCATTAGTTAACCATCGGAACGAATCCCCGACCCTTTAGTAAGCCGAGCTGCAGCATTCAGGGTTGCAGAGAACAGGGTCTGGTCCATGGCAACTTTCGCCACAACGGCTAGGAGACAATCTCCATTGCTAAATAGCTGGGAGAATGGTCCTCACCAAGACATGATGCACCAGGGTACCGCAGGGACTGCCTGTTGCATCCTCATGGATTGCAACCACTTGCACGCGCTGTCCCTCTCGGTCCTTCCAGGAAAAGAATCCAAAAATGTAAGATTGGTCCATGCAAAATCAAACCTTGGTCCAATAGCAGAATTCCTGCATACAGTATTGGTATGCTTCTGCACCTCACCCGAAGCAGTTTCATGCGCCTGCCTGCCGGTGTGCACCGACACTGAACATCGAATCAGCTGGCTGGCGAGGGGTCGCGGTCGGTCTGGCTGTTGGGGCTTGGGCTGGGTGGCCTCTATTCGTCGGATTCCATGCGGGTACGATAAAGTCAACAATTAGGGCGAAGCAGCGCTTCCAGTGGCCTCCCTCACTCTCGGAGCAGGGATGCACAGGACCTGTGGGTCGCTCAAGATGCTGGCCAGGATGATCGTTCAGAAGGACCTACTCTGGCGAGATCGCCTGAGTGACGCACGGGAGTCCTCTGCAGGAAGGTGTTGCCGCGACAGGGAAACACGGCGAGAGCAAACGTCAACTGGATGGGCGAATCAAGCTGCCGGCTTCGTCGGTCAAAATGAACCGAGATGCCTCCAACCCGAAACACTCGTCAATAATACAACAGCACAGTGTAGCCAGAAGCCACATTTAGTTTACTACCCAGTACAAGATGACATCTTCGTGGAAGAACTCAAAAGGCATTTGGTCTGGTATGGTCTGGTCCGGAAACAACATGCGATGTACGACTGTCCGCCGTGTTACATACAAGCAGCCGGTTCCAATTGCCAAGGTGAACACTACCGAGGACATGTTTCAGATGAATGGCATGGTATGGACGGGCAAAACCAAAGATGCGGGCATCGCATAGCTGCAAATGAACGGCACAGCATATTTTGTCTGGACGTTTGATAGTAGACATGGTGAGTCATGCTTAGAAACATAACACATCGTGATGCGAAATATGCGAGACAACATCAACATCGTACTATGATGCCAGAGCCCCGGGAGCGCAGGCAATCCTGTTTTACTTGCAGACTGTCTCACCCTCCATGGGACAGTGCATGATAGTGCATGTAGACAGTCCACAGCTTCAAGCTAGTTCCGCAAATACTGCGCAAGCGGCCGCTTCAAAATGACATGGCATCATGTTGTCATATGTTGTCCCTTGCCAAAGTTTGCAGTTTGCAGCTCAGCTCAGGCCCAGACCCGTGATGCCATTGTGCGTGCATCGGAAAATGTTAATCACGGGCTCGCCTTCTACTCTCTGTGCGATGAGATCGCCCAGCACATAAGCCACGCCTGCAAGTTCCAGTCGCGATTCTAATGCCACAGGTAGCACTGCAGAGGCACTGCACACTGCTGTTGAACCGTCAAAGCCTGGCCTGAAGTCAAGGACTTGGCCAGAACGGGTTGCACAACCGCAAAGTCACCATAGATCTCGAGCATGTCACACGACACACGCTTCCACGCAGCCAAACACTGTAGGATGGAGCGCGAGTTCATAACACAGAAGAACCTCACACTTGCATCAGGCTTCGTGGGCAGGCTTGCGGCTTGCGGCAACATCCATTGTCACGAGGCTGCAATGCTAAGCAGTGACAGTGCTGATCATATCCCATAGTAATTAAAGGGCTGGTGCCGCATCAAGAGGCTGAAACAAAGCAAAGATGATGATAGCGTCCTGGCGCAGCATCAGGCCCGTGCAAAGAAGGATAACCGCCATCAGCATTGGGAGCGTGGTCTGATGCTCCAAGAACCTTATGTATGCCCGCGGGCACGGGCACTGGCGATGAGACGAATCGGATGCAAGTCTTGAACAAGTTTAATCGTCTCTGAGGGTCTGCTCTTCAAGGCCCCGCGGCGCTTCAGAGGCGAAAGCAGCATCAACCTGTCTCGAGCTTCCACTTTGCCCTTCATGGCGCAAAAGCTGTCGTGGCAGTGTCCTGACTATTCTTTTAAGCGAAGTGGAGACTCACCATGAAGGGAACATCTGCCGGTGTCTGGCCTTGTCTTGCTAAGACGACAATAAACCAGACTCGGCACATTCACTTTGGAGCTCCAGTCTTACGTTCGCATGCATCAGGTCACCTTCAGGTTGAACTCCAGTTGGATTGCCATACTGTTTCCTAGTTACTAGGTAAACAAACTGAGGGCAGAGCAGACAAAAGCTAGGGGGACTGAACAGGCAGCAGTGTGTTGCAAATGCGATCTGATGCTGGTATACGGATGTGAATGATGCACATTCCTTGTTTGCTGTGTTGCGAACTGGTAGGCCAGCGACTGTCGTTGATAGAGAGTTCACATGCGTTGTCATGAAACGCTGAAAGATGCATGGCAAAGCGTGTTCCTCGAAGGGGGGGCTCATCGAGACAGCTGCCTTCCACCTCCCTCCCCGCTGACGCTTAGATCCCGAATATGCTAGGAGCAAGGCCCCCCTAAACTCTCGCTTGACCCAAAACCAAATCTGTAAATCAGCTAGCTTGCGTGACATAGAAACACACATGTGTTCGTTCGTACAGTGCTTTTGTAAAGCAACCTGATGGAGCGACAGGGTGCTGTACTCCGGAGCAATGCAAGGCTCTACTGGAGATTCAGTCCTCATCTTGACTGCAGCATCCTGCGGCTCAGAAGCCATCCATAGTCGGAGCCAGCTGTGGCACTGCGTCGCGCTAATGCCAAGGACCAGAATGCATGCATAGGTGGACAGGCGCTGGCATCTGAGACAGGGCGGAGATCGTCTCTTCACAGGCGCAGTGGCCACCATCATGGGACCAAGCTGCGAAGCATGCTGCTCATGCACGAGCCGTGGCAGCTGCGTTTCAGGCAAAGCTTGCGAGAGATTGTGGTTAAGTAGGGCGAGTGAGTTAATCACTCACGACTCGCCCTGCATACACGCTAACACAGCTGCTTCTCCAACAAACTCGGGAAGCCCGGCCTCACGCAAGGTAACTGAACGCACCTGTGATCCGAAGCCTGTCAAAGCAGCCTCACACAGAGCAAGGATCTCCCGCGACCCCATTGCACACGACACAGTCCCAGGAATGCCACGAGTGCCAGATCGCACGGCGACTTGAGGACAAGTGAAGTCACAAGCTTGGCCCAGCACACTGCATCGTTGCACAGCCTGCATTGCAGCGACGGAAAAGCAGCGGCTGACGTCCCCTCGCACTCTAGGAGACGGAGAAGCAGCGGCTGACGTCCCCTCGCACTCTAGGAGACGGAGATTTATGGTCTGAGAATGCTGAGCAAGACTACTGCCCCGTCCCTCACAACGCTGCTGACCACACATGCTGGCCTCACGGTCTCATGTTCACGACAACGCAAACTGAAAATTAAGTCGGGGAAGCTGCAATAAACTCGAAGGACCGCGCCGAACAACGAAAACTGAAAACTAAGTCGGGGAAGCTGCAATAAACTCGAAGGGCGCTTCGAATCATGCTTTCCTGTAGCATGTCAATTAGCAGCACTCCATGAGAACCCACATCATGTGGATTTCGAACCGTACCCGAAGCGCTACTATCTTCAACGGGCTCGATTCCACGACGCAGGACAACTGGGGCCTTTGTGCAGCAGCCGTGCTGGGCCAAATTGTTGCTCGGGATCAGCATGGGCCACTCAAACAACGTCCCTGAAGCTTGGGGAATTAACAGCTCGGCCAGTGTTGCTGCAAAAAGCTGACGTCTGTCATGCAAGTGGCACCACGCACTCGCGTCAAGAAGTTGGCGGATTGCATGTGGACAAACAACCCAGGCTGGATATCACTGTCTGAAGAATGCCATGTCTCCAGCCTGCTCAACCGACGGACAACCGTGAAGCGACTTCACCAGGTCTTCAGCCCATTGCCGAACCAGAGCCTGCAACACGGGCAACTGGAGGTGTCACAGGCTCTCCCAAGATCCGCCTCATCCTTGTTCAGGCCGCCCTCATTGGAAGAGGCGGCCTGAATGTTTTCTGAGAGGCAAATGCAGTCTCTTATCTCGGACCTGGGATTAGCACTGTGCCACTTGGACCTTCGATCATGCCACGAAGCCGCTTCAGTGCGGGCTGATCCTTCAGCAACAATGGTGAACACACAATACGACCTTGTCTGAATATGCGGAACGGCCTGTACATCATCAGGCATCCGACGATACTCTGCTTCTTCAATCGCGGCTGCTGCAGCTTCCACAAAGTCGGCATCGCAAGCGGAAGCCTCCGACCGAACTGATGTGGATGAATTGAGTGCTCTGGCTTGACTGGTCAAGACCTCCTGCGCGGCGGTCAGTGCATGCTCCTCCGGCCTTGGTTGAAGTAGCACGAAACGGCAGAAGTTGACCGCACTACATCAGACAAAAACCCTATGCTTGAAAAGATCACATGGCATATGCCCCTACGAAATTATGAATGCCTGCACGATTGTCGGTAAACCAACCTCGCCAGGAACGATCCATGCAACACACCTGACATGAATGGAAGCACCAAACCTTCTAGTACCCAGACGCTCCTTCTATCTCCTTCTCATGGCCGGGGTATGCCGGGGTGATACCCTGCAAGTAACTGTCCCTAGCACGAAAGGTCGACCAACTGAGGCGTGAACCCTGCCATGAAGACATCATGCCGAGTGCGCTTGAAAAGGGGTTCAAGAAGCTCCTGTAGCGACAAGCTATCTTGGAGGGCCTTCCCATACACTTGAAAAACAGCACAAAGGACTGCAGCTGCCACCTCTGTCGTCACTGGCCTTTTGCAGCTTAAGAGCATCACCTGAGCAAGGAAAGAAGCACAAGTGACCGTGACTGCCCAATCGGCTTTCGAAAGCATGGCATGCTCTGAGGACGAGCCACCTTGTTTCAAAACCTGCAAAACTCTCTGTGTGATAGCACGATATGACATGCTCCGTACCAACGCCCAACAAGTCGATGTGGAAGGAATCACGCTCGTGCTTGCTTGACGCTTCGCAGTGATTCGACCCGATTTGGAGTCCACCTCTCCTTTAATCCTTGAGCTGATCACAATGTAGTCTTGATTCAGCCTCTCTCGGCAGGCTCTCAATGGCAACTGAATGGCGGCTCAAAGCCCCCTTGAACTCGTGCAGTCACTGACATCCAAAGCCGTCCAGCTTGTCCTGGCTAAGTCGGCTAAGTCTTTCGAGGCTTGAAAAGTGTAGCATACTGTCGCCAGAATCTGCGTCTTGATCTTCTCACGAGGTCATGCTGCATTGCCCACGCTTTCCTCCCGATCATGGATCTGCCCGCTTCACTTCACCATGGGGTTCAACTGTTGACTGATGCGCACTTGGAAGAGACCAGATGCTGTTGACAAGTGTTTGAATAACGCAACCTTCCCGAGCAGCCCGAGCAGTGCCTCATGACTGAATACTGGCAAATTGCGCTGATCTAGCTGACGAAATTATTGTACACTTCTCACTGTATGTCTGCTTCAAAAGCTCCGCAAATCACAAGTTCTTGCAACATCCCGCCCGAGTCCGTGAAAGACAAGCCAAGTCGCCCAAAACTTAGCAGTGCCGGACTCAACTGAGGTCACGGCGCTGGCGACGCGATCTGCGAATGATCGCTTGCCCTATCCCACCGTTTCCGGGAAGCGTCTACAGTTTGATCCCAACGTCGCAAGGCAACGCAAGGCCCTCCAGACTTCCACCATCCTCACAGCTTCTCTGTCCCCACTCCATGAGAGTCCTGCATGCTACACTCAAGGACACTACCGCTGCGATTCATTGAGTCGTGCTTCATCTTGTTTCAGTTCGTCCAGCAAAAAAGCAAGAGATTCATGTTTTCATCCACGTTACCAAACGCACCTGGACGAACGCCAGCCAACAGCTTGAAAGTAATGTGACCTCGTGATTAATAAAGCCCCCCTCCATGGAGCTAAACTCGGCCCTGCCCTGCACACAATAGTGGAAAGCCCCCTCAACGGAGCCAAACTCGGTCTGCACGTAATTATAAACCCCACCTCAATAGTACTACTGTACTACTACTGTACTACTACTGTACTACGACTGTACTACTACTGTACTACTGTACTACCACTG